GAAGATGGTCATGGTTCTAGCTCATTTGAGCACATTAACAAACACTAGGTGTGCATTAATATTTTTAAGGCCCTTTTGTGAAAGATTTCGTCATTCTCCAACCCATTCTCTACCATTTTTAGCTCACAACCTTCCCACATTCTTTGATAACACATGCATGCAAGATAACAACTCCCATACCCAAGAATTGTCTTACTAATTACCCATTATTAGATAAATTTTGAAATTAAGGGCTAGGGTGTAAAATCTTACCTCTAGGATGAAGACCTAGTGAGTTTTCCTTGTTAACCTTCAAAGATTTGAGCAAAACATGATGAATGAATTGTTGAAGAACTCTCTCCCACTCTAGGGCACTCTCTCGCCCTCAAAATATCAGATTTTTGCTCAAAATATGGTCCTTTGCGTATATATAACGAAGTAGGGTCGGGTTATAAAAATCCAAAAATGAAGCCCCGGAACAGGATATGCGGTCGCATATGGATATGCGGTCCGCATATCGGCCGCACAATTTGGTGCAAAAAACTGAAAAAAACTGCCTGGGTCTGCGGTCACTATGCAGCCTGCTGACCTATTCTGCGGTCGCATAATGAACCGCAAAACAGTTCTGCGGTCATATAGTCGACCGCAGAATGGCATCCAACCCAGCTCATACCTGCCACACTCTGCAGCCATTATGCGACCTGCAGAGTGATTCTGCAGTCGCATAATGGACCGTAGAAACGCATTTCTCTGCCAAATATTTTCCTTCAACTCCCCAGCGCACTGTTCAATCCAAACATCCCAAACCGCGGTGCGCAAGCTCACCGCGAAGAATTTCTACAATTATTAACCTCTACGCCTACCCCGGCATCACGGAACCCCAATTTTTAGGAAAAATTTTACGGGGCCTTACATCAACGGCCCTGAAATTTTGGGCAAATAGGTTTTTTTAGAAGGAATTTTAATGGCCATTGGATCATGAGATTTGAACCGTGGAGATAAAATCTCTGAGTGTTATGAAAATTAAAGGGGAAAGTAGAGTAAAATCGTGGGCCATTGATAAAAAAATGAACGGCCTAGATGTCTTTGTGTTTCTTTTGTGAGTGATAGAGATGGATGACATGGCATGCTCTGATTGGTTCTCATGGAGTGGCAAGGATTGCCAAAGTGGAAAGAGGGTAGTGTTTTGGCTAGGTGTATTTCGGATTGGGCTGTGTATTTGGGCTAAAATAATTTAAGAAATGGCCATCTTATGTTTAATTAAGGAATTAATGTTGTAGTCTTTTAGTTTTTAACCTTTTTAAAATTAATTTAAATAAACTTAACAATTTAAATTATAATTACTATATATGCTACTAATTATTATGATTAATTATCTATAAATAACGCATATTTTGAATTATAACACTAATTTCAAAATATTAGCATAGTAAGCTAATTCACTAGAAATTAAGGAGTAAATTTGTCAAATTAATTATTAAACCTATGTAATGTATATACAAAAATTATTTTAGTAATCTTAAGATAGTAAATACATTTGTAATTACATAATAATAATACTACGTGATTAATTTTAAGACTATTACTTAATTAGTTCTTTAAAAATAGATATTCATTAATAGAAAATACTTTTAAAGTATTTATTGTAAATTATTAAGTATAAATAAATTAGTTTTGAAAGGGAGGTTCAAAATTGGCCGTCAACAACTGCCCCTCTTTGACCGGAGACGATGAAAGAGTTTTCGGGCAAAGAAATTGAACCAAAGCCAATTTTGTCCCGACTTTAGGCACGTATTGCAAGAATGGCATGAAAATTATGAGTTGCAGAATTGAGTTGAAGAAGAATCTAGGAAAGTTTGGGAATATTGGGCCGAATTCTGGCTTTGAATTGCTTACATACCTCGGGCTTAACGAGGATCAAGCCTCATGTAGTTCTGGAGTAGGGATTTTGGGGAAGCAACACTCACATGAATTGCCCCAGTATCGTATAGCGACGATACGGCGAGATGGAAGATTGGTCACTCATGATAGCTTGAATTTTGCGGCCTGATTTGAATGATTCAAAATTTAGAGCTCGCTGGTCGTCTTGAGCTAGAATCTTGGGCCCGCTACTGGGTAGGCTGTCCCCATAGCATTGTAGTTCGGTTTGCTGCTAAGAAATAGTTCCACACTGCGGTGTTTGTATCTGCAAAGCAAATGAAATACATGCATACTGATATATTGTCATGCATAATATATTAAGATGCAATGTAAATTATGCAGGAATGATGATGTCTGGCTACCGGCGAGCCGTTATTCGCGATTAGGATGATGGGATACTTGATCCTGACTCGATTTGTTAGCCGGGCTCTGTACCGTTCCACAGTTGTCAGAGCATTTGAAAATTGTCTTCGCTTGTTGGGGGAGCTTGATTGGTAAAGTGCGTCTCTACTTGTTGGGAGAGCTTTGTACTGAGAAATGTATCCGCTTGTTGGGAGAGCTTGATTTGTAGAGTGCGTCTCCGCTTGTTGGGAGAGCCTTGCACTGAAATATAAAGGTATACTTCGCTCGGAAGTGATTGATAAAAATTGTAACCATGCCTAAAGCTGCACGAACAAAACATTAAAACATTTAAAGTAATAGCGAAATGAAATATAAGCATGCCCAAGAGATACTCTTGATTGCGAAGCTAGGTTGCGGCCATCGATTTGCAGAACGAGGTTTGCGATTGTCTATTGCGGCATCCGTGATTGACGGAGCAGTGCTACAAATTGCTTTTTGTTGGCGAAGTTTGCATTTTTCTATATACAAGGCTGCAGTTGGTGAAGCCAACGTTCAATTTGCACAAGGCGCTCCGATTGATTGAGGTGGCGGTTTGTTATATACAGGTCTTCAATTGGTGAAGCCGACGTGTGATTTGTACAGGATGCTTCGATTGATTGAGCAGGAGGTTTGCTATATACAAGACTTCGATTAGCGAAGCCGGCATTCGTTTTGTACCAGATACTCCGATTAGGCGAGCAAGCGATTTGCTATTTACAAATTTCCGTATCAGTTGTCTGATTCTGAGGCACCTACAAAGAATTCAAGAGTTAGATTTAGTTGTGCTTGAAAATTTTAAGTAAAAGGGAGGAGAGATAATCTTAGATAAGTGACAGGTCCGTCATTTGCCCCAGTGTGGTCCCAGTGATTCTTTACTCTCTGTTGACCATGCACTCAAAGAAAACTTCTTAGTTGGGGAGGGGG